AAAATTAATTACCGACAATAACATTAATTAGCTTTTTATTAAAATAATCGTGTTTGCACGTGCTTCCGCAATTTCACAGCCCACCAACAAACAGTTCATGTGCTTTCTGATCTAACTCAAAACATTTCCTTGTCGACGAACTCGTAAAATATCTATATAAAAGGTACACTGAAGGCTAAAATCATCTGGTTTAAGATATTTCAACTCGTGTTATATAATGTAGTCCATTAATAACACTCTGTACATGTGTTGTTTGTTCGATATATTTGATGCATAAAATATATGTTAATTGCTATGAATATTGTGAGGCCTTTTGATCAAACGTTGATCAAAGACATCAGAAAACAGTGAAAATCACTCATGGGAAAGATTTAGGCTATTCACTACAATCAAATGGTCTTACCAGGAAACTTTCTAATGATCTAGCCAACACCTGATCTATTTTGTTATTGGCTTCGCAAACTAGTTTAGTTTAGGAAAATTACTTTTTTCTTATTCTTGAAGCGCCATTTTTTCAGTCTACATCAATTGATTCGAATCCTTATCGATTTTTATATACAGTACTCCACCAAGATTTGACCCGAGTACTTCTCCATCAGTGAGTTTGGCAGATGTCATGTTTTGCAATATATAATATTTTAGCTCTCCTTACTTTGTGAAACAATAAAGGAATCAGTATAATTTCTTGTCTCAAAAGAATGTCTTTTATCCGAATGATTCAGAACTTTTCTGTCTATCCACACTGGTATATATCCCTCTAGACTAGAGAAAAGTTTTTTGGTCGCTTTTATACGCAACATTTGAAATCCCTCTTATCAAACAGACTGACGTCGTATATCGTACACTATTGACAAAAACCCTCAGAGGCTTTTCGGAAAGAAGACGTTTCTAGACGGAGGATTTCTTGCGTCTCAAATTACTTGTTCTATTCTCTGGCTTTCATCGAAGGATCCATTGTAGAAATATATATATATATATATATATATATATATATATATATATATATATAAACTATTTTATGACAATACTTTTTGATGTAAATAAAAATCAATACGTATTACTTTTGTTCCTGGAGATATAGTAGATTTCACGATGAGCTTATAAATCTTTGTCTACCTTGTCGTAAGAGTAGATACATTTTATGTAATCTATTAAATAAATATCTTATTTTATAAATTCTAGTAAGAAAATTCTACAAGTTGGGATTTTTAATACCCATAATTTTATTTTCCCAATGTCAATAAAGTGACTTGTCAGACCAGCGTATAAAATTTACCAATTTTATTGTAAAACCACGTTTTCTCCAGTTTCACGCAAATGATGAAAACAAAATCAATAATCTTGTGTGCATTCATTCGTAATAAACCGTGTCTTATTCTCAGCACGTTTTTTGTTCTTTTATAAGACTTCGAATCCTATATTGAAATCTCTTAAGGGGTTAGGGGTACTTGCAGGCACGAAAAAATGAGTGTTTTCAGAATTTTTTTTTTGTTCTTAAGCGATGTTTTTCTACAAAAATATTAATACAGCATTATTATACAATGTTTTGACTTAATGTAAAAAAAATTTCAGAAAAAAAAATCAATATTCCCAAGTTATAGCTGTTTTTCTTGACCCTGTTTCGAAAAACGGTCCTGGCGGTGACCATCATAACTCCTTGGAGATTCATCTAAAATCAATAAATTAAAAAAATAGTTTTATGAATAGTTAATCCCGGGCCGGATCGAAGGTTTTCCTTTTTTGCAAAAATTAACAAAATGACAGCATCAGAAAGAAAAAATCTTGATTTTGGGTAAAAAATCAACAGTTAATTGGTCTTAAAAAATTCAAATTTTTGAAAAAAAAAAAATCCTTCGATCAGGCACGAGTTTATTATGTATTATAAAAGCTGTATAAATTTAATTAAAATCTACTAAGCGGTTTTTGAGTTACAGTGGTCACCGATTCAAAAAACATAGTTTTGAGAAAAACGCGTTCAAAGTTTTACATTGGATTTGCGTACAGAAATACGAATTTTAAATTCATTTACACGAGTCATCTATTCCTGGGCCATATAACAGTTCTTCAGCCATTGTGGAAGTTTCCAAAATTTTCATTTGGTGTTGCCTACGAAGCATTCTGCCCTCCCGTGTCGTCTCGTTGGCGCGCTGATCTGCTACTTTCACACGTGCAGCATCCAATTTTTCAGCATACCAATGGGAATTATACCCACAATTAGGTCCTAGGGTACCCATAATCAATAGTAATGATTATGTATATGTATTCAACAATTTGTACGATAGTACAACTAGTATCCACGGTTTTTAGGCATATTTTTTACACTAGTTGGTTGAAGCTTTTAATTTTCCTGATTATGGTTTCAATCTTGAACTACACATCTTGAAAGTAAATTATCATTGCTGAGATCGTTTAAATCGTTTAAAAGCTTTTTAAACATCAGGAGGTGAGGGAGAATAATCTTGAGTATAAGTATCGAGCTCTCCACTTGCGTCAACGCGCTGGTAAGGGTCCAATAACTCAAAAAGTAATCATCGGATCAACTTCAAATTTTCAGAGAACATTTTCAAGATATTACACTTAATGAAAATGCAAAAAAATAAAAATCGATTTTTCAAAAATTCCAAGTACCCCTAACCCCTTAAATCAAGACAAGGCTCCTTATTGTACAAATCCCTCGTGGAATGTTCTTGGTATTTTTCTGAATCGTGGCATAATTCTATAAGATTGTGGAAAATCAAGTAATACGGTAAAACGGCGATAATTTACATATACTTTTTAGATACATATACTTTCCCAATTATTTTTTATTTTTAATCCGTGCTTCCGCATTTTGTAATCAAAGGAACATCCATGCGTTGATAAAATAAGCAAGATGTGTTTATTGAAGTTCTGTCACAGAATAAATAAATCCCAAGACATTAAACATGTTCTCACGAAATTGTTCATGTTATTCTTATAAATAAACCAATTTTGTTTATATAAAATGCGTAATGGGTGTTTAAATTAGACGCTGGTGACACGTACCTCTCATGCTACTTTCTCCTAATTAAACATGACCTCAAATACTGTATTTTTTTTAAAGTTTATTGATTAATTTATATGGATATTTAAACTATTGCTATGGGTAAATTTTTATTTACGATCTTCAAAATCTGTATCCTATATCCAAATAAATACAGCTTTCATATAAAGCATATGCTCTACAAAAAACGCGTTTTGGCTTTGTTGACTTTCGTCTGGATATCGGAAAATATATTTATATTCGAAAATTTCAGAAGCATAAGATATTCGAGGTATTTTACATTATGTATGTTGTTTAGATAAGAAATTGAACAAGCGCAAGATGTAAAAAGTTGTTACATCACATTAAAAGCTCGGTATAATCTGTAAAGTTGTTTTAGCTTGCTTTTGGAATAATTTCATGGATTTAAGTTTAAGCTTTTAAAATATATAGTCTAAAATTTTAACCTAAGATTGTTGAATAAACCGAGTCGTTGGTTCTTTTTTTTTTGAATAGATGCATTATTGTTAAATTGTAACAAAAAAATGTTCGTTATTAAATTCGTTGATAAATATTTTATGTAACATATTTGAGCATAATTTCATACTAAATATCCATCACAAGATAACAGAAGTTCATGGATAGTGTCCTGCCTGAAACCGGTGCGGTCATCTGCGTTTTAACCCCGACCTCCGCGTCGTTTCGGGTTGGATGTCAATCTGGCCTGGCGTACCTACTTCACGTGGGACACAAAAATTTAAATTTATCTAGCACTCAAATAATTTTATTTTTTAAGACTATAAACTTCGACATTCTGACTTTGCAGATTCATCTTTCCCTTACTTACTTTTCATTACACGACTCTCTATTATCATAAGTTTGGCAAAATTCTACAGGACCACGCCCTGTGCGTTTAATTAGTAACTCCATATAATTGCATAACTTCCCAACTTTATTACTTGAAAATAAGTACAGTCTGGCAGTTCAAAATACAGTAAAATCATCGACGCCATCAGTCAAAAGCGAGTCGAGAACAAAAAAGAACATTTTAATTGTGCCTTTGTCATCCAGAGAGTTCTTTCACATGTACCGACCATTATTAATGCATATTGCCGCAGGCAGTCTACACGTCGCCGACTGGAATTATATTATATCTGGCGTTCGTCTTCCATGAACGATATTAAACATTTTGACAAGTACATGGAGCAGACAACGAGCAATTTAAATGATGAATTCTATATGCCTCGATGCTCCTGAGAAGAAATATGATATAATGCACTCGTTTCCTTTGGAACGCTAGTTTTGTCGTTATGGTAATAAGATTTTAATCACATTAGTCCACAAAAATCTTCATGATAGTACAAAATAGAGAATACATCTAATTTTCAAATTTGGAAACTAAGTGGACATTGTAAGGCTAGTATGTTATTTCATAGAAAGCATCAGAGCAATTTCCATTATGTAATCTATAAAACAGATGCATTTTATAAAAATGCTTGCGTCGTATGAAATTTCCAATGTGTGAGTATTTTATGAGATAACCAGATGTGATGCATAAGAATAGAAGTCGGAGATATATCAAGTTATGACTCCTATCCAGCAATTATCGAACGAATGAATGCTAACAGACACAGGATGTGAAATGTAGATAAATTTCCTAGGCAAGCGAAATATGGTTCTTGACAAATATTGAATAAATTTAATAATAATAATTTTAATTTTGTGAAGAAGACTCAATTTCATTAGATATGAAGGAAACTTACTGTATATTGGTCATTGGATCACACTGATCTTATTATTATCAATGTTAGAGCAAAGTTAAAAACCAAATACTTTTTTCTGATATAATTGTAACGAAATAATTCAAAAGTTATTAAATAGATCAATTTTTGACATCAATACATCATCATATTGCAACTTATTTCACTACTGAGCTTTAGGTTCAGTTGCATTTATAGTACAAAAACTATTATTAATTATCTTATTTATCTATTTCCAGAATGTCGACCACAAGATGAAATTCCGCAGCAAGAAAGGACAATTGCCTTTCGTCGAATTGAATGGTGAAGAAATTGCTGACAGTGCCATCATCATGAAGGAGTTGTCCAAACGCTACGGAAAGGATCTGGATGCTGCTTTGACACCAGAACAACGCAATGTCTCCCATGCTATGGTAAATAAAATATATAATTTAAGTGAATTATGTAATAATTGTCGTTTTTATTTATTTTTATCCTAATTTATTAACAATCTCTGTTGATAGAGCATTGCTGGTCAAGAAATTTCATAACAAAAAGATCCAATATACAAAATTTCTTGCTTTACAAACCAGCCATAATTTATTTCATTCTTAGATGAATACATTTTATATGCTCAATAATTTGTTCTGAAGCGAATTTAAATTTCTTATTTGTATAAAAAAACAACATTTTTCATAATTATTCAGAAGTAAAATTTAACTCTGGCGCAATTTTATCTCGTGTTCCGCAGAAAGCCGGTACGGTTATCAGTCACTCAACCCTGATCGAGGCGTCGTTTTAGGTTGAGCGTCGAAATGGCGTACCGGTTTTAAGTGGACGCCATTATAGCGCCATTTTTCTTGATAAAAATTTATTTTAATTTTGTTAAAACATAAAATCAATATGAATAGTACAAATAATTAATTTGCATAATAAAACATTACATTATTCACATTTTTCTAAGTTTCATCTTAATCTTTAACACCAATTTAGAGGCAACTACTACCCTCAATCATTATCCAAAATGTTGTTTATTTTATTTATCATGTTATTTGATTTAATGCCTAATAGCTTTTGAAGAAACCCTTCAATATCTTCAACAATGGGTGTAGTTGTCTCAAATGTGCCGTTTCATGTTAACTCTGATACTAAAAATCAGTCGTGCGTCTAAATAAATACAGTAGGGTTGTTGTTGTTTGGGTCGAGGGATTTTTACGCCCTTGAGTATATTTTATGGGATTTTTGGTGACACTGACATGAAATCTGGGATATATTCATGAGGATAAGGAAATCATACATTCTTAATTTGATCGAAGACAACAACAGTAATTCTATTAATAAACATGCAGGGGAATATCAATTAAATGAAGTGTAATATAGTAATCAATATTTTTTAATTAATTTACGAATGGAAATTTCTACTTTACATTATATCCATAGATAAACAAGTATAAATTTTGATTATATCAAAGAAGTGATTCTTCATCTGAAGAACATGAAATGATTTTCACTCCCGTTTTTTTTTATCAAAATCAGTACTTCGCTATCACATCTTTGGACCTGATAAATATATGTAAGCCAGGGGTCCTTAAATATTTAATTTTCTTTTTTTCCAGGTATCCATGATTGAAAACCACTTGGTATGGATCGTTTACTGGTGGCGTACAAAGTACCCAGAAAGTGTCATCAAAGGATACAAAGTCAATTTGCAACATGCTCTTGGAACTCGTATTCCAAATGGAATCCTCAACTTCTTCTTCAAATTTGCTTTTGGACGCAAGGTCAGTTGGATTTTTTAATTATTGATATATGGAGTATTTATAGTAGCGTTAGTTGAATGAATGAGAAAAACTAAAATTATATTCACCTAATTTGAAATAGCCATATTTAAGCAGTAAACTCTAATGGACCATAATTTATCTCTTACATTAGAACGGATCTTTCAATGGTAACGATTTATAAAAAGTTTTCGACAGTGGCTGCTTCCTTTGCGTAATCTGGCTTATCATATTTCAATGTCATCTTTAAAAAACCGCTCATTTATCTTTTTGCTTATTCTGCTGGCTGTCCATGTATTATTGTCTACGGAATTTTTGCCAGCAGGCTTTGATAAAATTGTCATAACATTTCATGTCGATGGAATTTCGTTTGTAAATAAAGTAATTGTATTCGGAGAAATTTTTAGGAACGGAAGACAAAATGGTAATGGAATTTTTATTAATGCGAGATTATTTTCTTATAGTATTTTTATTTAAGTTGTGTTTTTCTTCCATTATGAGTTTAGTCTATAATTTATCATCTTCGATTTGTTTTGCAAAACTATCCTTTCCTGGCATGATGTACCATCCTACCATCCTTCCCTTCTCTTCGAATTGTCATTTTGAAAGCTTGTCCATATAATACAATACGAAGTCCCACATTTCGCGAATTTCGTAAGAAGTCATTCATCTCTTGGTTAGAAAGCAAAACATTGCGAATAGGTGGTTTCCATATTATCTATCTGGTGGGTAGGGTCATGCAGCACTCCTGGCGAATACTAATTATAAATTTTTATCTACACGATTTTATAATATTGCTTTATGTTTACCGCTAAAAATATAGTAAAGGAGTTAGTGACCAAATTTACTCAAAATACAAGATTTTTCTTCAGTATTATGCACCAGCAAATGCATCTCGCCTCAGTTGTACTTGATTTGCTCTATCATTTGGTATGATGTAAAACTTTTTAATTGAAGTTTGGAGAATATTGGCAAAATTCAATAGTGAGCATTTTTCACTATATACATTAATTTTTACACCTGTTGCAAAGTCGACAACAAGTAAAACTGCAGGATTAAAAAAATAACTTTAAAAATACAAGAACTTTCCACCATTCTCAGGCACTTCTTAATTTTAATTTGAATAATTACTACTATAGAAAAATATTATAGTTGTAAATTAATACAAAAAAGAAATTATTGTTGTTGAAGAACAGGTAACTTGAAAAAATTAAAATATATTACTCTCAATTTAGATTAATTTCTAAACATAACAAATCGCATTCAATTAACTATACTAGGCTAAATTAGTATAAAATTAAATTAACTTCCAAACTACTTATTAATTAAAATATAAATAACTGAAAGATAGCAATATATAAGAGGATCAATTTAATTTGTAACCCACTATTATTATTTTATCCTGGCTTTATTTTCGAATCTGATTTCCTACATAATTTGATATAATTTATGGTTCTTGAAGTCGAGGTCAATTGTATGCCAATATCTTCCAATCACTTAATTTACTATACATTACATTCACGATATTAGAAATACATTCTGTAAAACGTGATGATTTTTAAGATTATATCTCAATACGTTCTAAATCCATCCATAAAAAATATCTCTCAAGAAATGTTTCAGAAACCTACTTTGGGTAAACTAAATACGAGATATAGAATTTAGTAATGGGAATAATATTTTTTATTAGAATAAATAAACAAGTTGATTCTTGAATTTCGAAATAAATTGTTCTATATCTCTCTTACAGATTTTTGATTATTTGCAAAATACTTATATATTTTTTTTAAATGAAACCGAAAGGAAAATTGTGTTAAAATCACTAAGGTGTGATTACTAAATTCTAACTTTTGGTTCTAACTGCAATTTTAGTTATTTTAAAAATATTTTTCTTTAGGATAAAAAATAAAAATCTCTTCATCTTACAATTAGTTAATTTACAAATAAATTTTTATCGGCCATAATTAATTTAGATTACTTAGTAGGTTTGGAAATTAATTTAGTTACTGAATCATAGTATTATGATTTTTGTAACATTTTATTTAATAATTTTAAAATTTAACAACACTCATATTAAAGTAATACAAAAAATTATATATACGTAATTACTTTTATATACTTTTTGTGCACATATTTATGTTTTGTCATACAATATGATAATTAATATCTCATTGTTTTCGAAATTCTTCAACAAATCATTTCTTGGAAAACATTGATACTGGGATCATTCAACTTTTGCACATAAGACGAAGATTACTGATTTTGCAATTGCGTTGTAAATTATGTTTGCTTGAAAATCAATTGTTGACTTTTTATAACAATAAGCAATTACTTGAACAATGTTAATATTTTTGTCAGTATGAATGAAATGTATTTTGTAGCCACATAATCAGCAAGAATCCATTTTTGTCTATCAGCACCAAATACTAATATTTATTTGATATTAAGATCTAATTTTAATTTAAATTTTGAAACTGTATTTAGCTACATATCACACTAATATTATTGTTTGCGATATTGCATGCTCGCTCCAGTCAAATTATTTAAAACATACATGTGAATTAGTTAAGTTGCCACTTGAAAAGAGTACAAAAATATCAAAAAAAAGGCAGAAATGATATTCTCAAATTTGTAGTTTATTACTGATAGATCTAGATTTAAATTTTTTATTATTACCAAGTAGTCAATTAATTGTGGCAATTTCTATTTTCACATGTATGTTTTAATTTTTCCTATCAAATCTGTGTCCGTGTCTATTCTGACTGTGTTGGTGACGTGTAGTGGTTCCAGGGTGCTAAGAAAGTGAAGGCTCAAGGAATTGGTGTCCACAAACCAGATGAAATTGCTGAATTTGGCAACAACGACCTCCAAGTGCTGAGCGACATGTTGGCTGACAAGCCCTTCTTCTTCGGCGATGAACCCACCACCGTAAGTATAATTGATGTAATTTTTTTTTTTTTTTTGAGTTGATGTAATTTGGTTAATGGTTCCGATTTGTGTCTATTTTAGTTGGACATTGTCGCTTTTGCCAACTTGGCCCAGATTCACTACATTTCTCCTGATGTGTCCTACCCATTGAGGGACTACATGGCCGAAAGATGCCCGAATCTCGTAGGACATGTCTCTCGTATGAAGGAGCGCTGCTTCGCCGACTGGGAAGACATTTGCGCGACGCTGGACCTCAACTCCCATCTGCCCAAACCACAGTGAGTAATTTATACTTTTAATCCGATATAAAAGTTTAGATAAAACGACTTTGAATTGACATCTTTTTGGTTTTTGTCAAATAACTCAAAAATTTTATATGGAACCACCTCTTTTGAGTTAGACAGGGTGAAACTAGATAAAATTTACTACATTTCCTTGGGAACACTTTTATACACTCCCATATAAGAGTTTCGAATAAAACGACTTTGAATTTTTTTGGTTTTTGTCAAATAACTCAAAAATTTCATATGGAACCACCCCTTTTGAGTTAGACAGGGTGAAACTAGATAAAATTTACTACATTTCCTTGGGAATACTTTTATACACTCCCATATAAGAGTTTCGAATAAAACGACTTTGAATTTTTTTGGTTTTTGTCAAATAACTCAAAAATTTCATATGGAACCACCCCTTTTGAGTTAGACAGGGTGAAACTAGATAAAATTTACTACATTTCCTTGGGAACACTTTTATACACTCCCATATAAAAGTTTTGAATAAAACGACTTTGAATTTGATATTTTATTATTTAGCAATAAATAGAAAATTCGTCAACATCAAATTAAAACACTTTCGACATACAGTAGAACTCCAATTATCCGAACTCGAATTATTAGAATCGCCGATTACCCGAATCACTTTCAGAAAAAAAATTGTCCAAAAAAAAGTCTAAGTGCTCTATTATTCTTCCACCAGCAAAGCCAGTGTAGGCACATTGTTTGTTTTGATTTGACGGAGATCTTTACAAATCAATGATTTTTATTTCTAAACTTGTACATAAGTACATTTTATTTATATTTAAAACATGTGAAAATGTCATGTTTCTTTCATTTAATTCAATAAAAAAATAGTGCAATATAAAAACGTAACTTTTTTTCTCTCTAATGGCAATTTTTAAAAAAAAAACTCCGATTGTCCGAATATTTGATTATCCGAATGGGTCCCGGTCCCCATTAATTCGGATAATTGGAGTTTTACTGTATATTGCATATGTACTTCATATATACATATTTATCTACATATAATATTTAAATATAATAATATATCCTGAATTTCATGTACTAAAATCGGTTTTTAATTTTTAGACCTGAGCCAACAAAAGAAGGCAAGGAAACCAAGGAAGGCGAAGAAAAAGTTGCTGAACAAGAAGGAGAAGATAAGTTAGAAAAAGATATCGAAAAGGAAAAGGTATAAAATCTATTTTCTATTCATAAGTATACTCATCACACTTACATAAATTAATAAAGCAATGATTTATAAAAATATAATATTTTTTCCATGAAGCCTATATAATTAAGTTTAAGATTCATTTATTTCTAATATCATGTATGATAAGACTATATTCAGAAATAGCAATTTATGTTTATTTAAATATTTGAGCTTTAAAAATTTTAAGATTCTTCTTATCGAATTTGAATTAATAATAATACTATCTTAAATACAATCAATTTATGAATATCAATTTGTTATATTATTCTTCTTAATGGAAATTTTTTTATATTATTAAATTTTATAAGGTATTACATATGTATTTATGTTATAAATATTTTATCATTATATTATTATCACAATATTAATATAATTTTTTCCTTTTTCAGTCCGATGAGAAAGAAAAAGAAAAAGAAGCCGAGAAGGAAACTGAAGAAAACAAGGAAAAGGAATCAAAATGAGTTAATTAAAAACACACCAATCTTAACATTATTCATAAAAACTGATAGATATGAGATGTAAGAAATTTACCTTCATTATTCAACATACATTCAAATCTCATTCAAACTATGCTCATCGACATTGGTTTATAACAATTTGATTTTGTTCTGACTCGTCGTATTAATAATTGTGTTGCTTTAGCAATAAAGATTTTATATTCTTGCACAATTAATAACGGGACGATTAATTTTTATATGATTTTTCTACATGTAATATTATAAATATTCACAGTTTTATATATATGATATTTTATATCGGGTCCTCTAACTTTAATGGAAAAATTTAATTTAAATTAATGTTTTATTCATTAAATTTGGAATCGCCATATTTGAATTGTGCTACCAATAGTTTAAGTTAATATTATTGTACATTGAATAATTATTATTTTTTTGATTTGTTATGGCTTTCGTTTATCGTTTCTTTTCAATCTAGAAATATTCATATAGATAATTAATTAGGAAGTAATGTTAGTTGAAGATATCATTAAATTCACTAATGTCACACACAGACAAAGACTTTTTTATAATGATTAAATGTTTAGATTTTTTTATAATTGCCATAGTAAAAATATTCCACAAATTTTCTAAGAAAATTTTGTAATTTTGGTTAATTTTGTATAAAAATATATAATATAAAATTTGTGTGTAAGTAGGGAATGTTTTTTCGACATAATTAGGAGGCATAGGTCTATTGATAAGTAATAAGTATTTTGTTTAGAAAATTTCTATAAAAGTGATTGCTTTTTGTATTGCATTTACTACGAAAAGTAAACATATTTGATAACGTTTTCTAAATAGGGTATATGAACATGTAGTGCTAATTTATATGTTAGAATTTTAAATATAAATCTGAAGCTTTTATTATAGATTTCTATAACCTACCTAATATTCGACTTCATTTAATTCTATTATTTCATTTATTATTACACCTGAGCTACATGAAAAAGTACCAATGCTTAAAGGATATTTCGATTTATATGAAGACTGTTAAAGATTGTTTATTTTTTGTATTGGTGAAACATAATTGAATGAGTTTTAATTAAACTGTAATTTATTTCTTTAATGAAAATTGTAATTTTTAGTTTTAAGCTACATTATAATATGTTTGTAATAAAAGATTGTTTTATAATGAGATTATTTTAAATAAATTTTAAGTATATATATGATAAATAATTGTGGACAATTTTATTTAAAAATTGTAAACTAGATGGATCAAGTAAATATAGTGCAAGGAGTGGATTATATAAGAGTAAAAGAGTTTATCAAAAGGTCGATATGATTGATTATAGGGTGCTTGACAGTCAGAGAAAACAGTGTCGATTTTTAACAATAAATGTTGAATGATTTGTAGTGATAGTGAGCACAGAATTGAAGACGCGAATTGTCTTAAATGAGAAACCCGCAACCAATTCACTGCCAGTAAATATAACAAAATTTAAAGTTGAAATGGGAATGATGCATCTGCTCGGAGAAGCTTCAATTGTATTTATTACAATCAATGTATGTATTAGAAAAAGCATACTTTTTTGTTGAAAAATAAATATATTTATTTACTCATTTTGAACAGAGTCTAGTATTAATGCTTCTAGTAATGTTTACCATTTCTGCTTTATGAAATTCTTTTATCTCACAATTAGAGAATAATCGGTTTATACAGAATTATGTTGCAAACATATATATTTTTAAATGTTCAAATGGATGTTTTAAAAATAATAGTTTTCAATTCATTATAGATTTGGAGTAGTGCTCGCTAGATGTAAGTGGGTAAAGCATTCTTAAAATGATATTCAATGTTTGTAACAATATTTATTATATTGATACTATGCATTTAACAAAAAAATGCTCTCTATATTTATATATCTTTATCATAAATCGCTGCCAATTGATGATCGCACTATAGTTATCTAAAAAATTGAGGTTTCTTAGATATAATTGTGTTTATCATTTAATTTGTCGCCTGTTTATAATAGAGATAAAAATCTTTGCAATATAAAAATGAAACATTTGTGCATTTATAAAAACGAATTTTATTATATTTTAATTGAAGAATGTGAATAAATCTAATTATAATTCAAATACTTAGGAATATATGTGAAAAGATGGATTATGTTTTGATCATGTAAAAGCAAAGTAAACAATTCGTGACACTTATGTAATTTTAAATCAAAAGCTTTCGTTTTCACTGTTAGTTTAGATATATGTAAAGCTGTTAAATTATTTTTAAAATTATATAATTGTTACTGATTGTTAAACTATACATTTTCATTAACAAATATATTAAACAAAACCAATTATATATGATAGTGCATTTACATTAATCAATACGATATACATTTGGTATGTATAAGTTTAATCTTAACATTTAGCATAACTCATTAACAAAAACAATATTAACATACTCTAATCTATGTGAGCTTGTATTAATCAGTTCTTTATAATTATTATACTGGACATCTGTAAACTAAAGAAAGATTTGTCGAATAAAGAAAAAAAATTATTTATGGCTAGTTATATGTAATATATAGAACTTAACTGGGCAAGCATCGATATAAAACAGATACTTTATTTGCAATGTTACTAGTATAAAGAATTTTACAGGATGTTTTAATAATATGAAGTGTTAGTTATTTTTGAATTATCTATATATAATTGGTGGGATTTGAAAAATATTATTTCAAGTTAAAGCACAACTTAAAGCAGTACATATTGAAATATTTAGTGATTATCTATGTGATCGAAACTCATTGAAGTTCTGAATTTGGGACCATGAAGCAGGAAAGTAGCAAGTAATAATAAAAGACATAGTGTAATGAAAATACGTTTAATTGCATAAGTACTTTAAATTCTTCAAATAAAATAAGGTATGTATAACTATTTTAATGCATTTTTAGCATAAAATTTAATAATATGTTGCAGATAGAAACATAAATTAGTACCTAAAGTGCAAGCATATCCTATATCGAGAATTATTTCTTTTATCTTTAACATACATAATATAAACGTTAGCAAGCTAGTTTGTATAAATACTATTAAATAGTGTAAATACTTTAAAATGAATGAAGCCAGTTATTATAATTTAAATATAACCGGGTATTGTAATTTAAATTTACCGCGCATGACCGTCAGAGACAGCGCCACCATCGCATTTTCCCATCTGTCATTTTGAAGGATAATTATAAATATAACCTTTTTAACTAACATCTCTCTTGTATAGACACGTGCTAGTATTTATTTATTAAAAATGGATGTTGATTTAGATACAGAAGCATTTTTACCAGCAAAAAATCCAATTAAAACTACTAAATCACTCAAAAAGAAAAGGTTGCAATCAGAAGATGATTCAATGCGAACTGAAGAAATTCAAGGAGTTCAAGGCAGGTCTAAGGCTGTCACAAAGAGGAAGAAAACTAAACCTAATTATGGAGGAGATTCAAAATCAGAAGTGAGAAAGATTCCTGTACCATCACATAGGTAATATAATAATAATAATAATGATATTAACCTTGTTTTAAAACATTTTGTCAATGCTGTCATATATTACAGATATACGCCTCTGAAAGAGAATTGGTTGAAAATATTTAGCCCTATAGTAGAACATATGCATTTGCAAGTCAGATTTAATTTAAAAACAAGACAGGTTGAAATTAGGACAAGTTCTGAGACTGATGATATAGGAAACTTGCAAAAAGCTGCTGATTTTGTTAAGGTAACCTAATTAGATTGTTTTAGAACCATTATTTATTACATTAGTATCTATCAGATATTGTCAAGTTTCTATCTATTTATTATTTTCTCTTAGGCTTTTGTTGTTGGTTTTGAAGTCGAAGACGCCTTAGCTTTGCTGCGTTTGGATGATTTGTTTGTTGAGTCATTCGAAATAAAAGATGTAAAGACTTTAAAAGGAGACCATTTAAGCAGAGCCATAGGTAGATTAGCTGGCAAAGGAGGCCGAACAAAGTTCACAATTGAGAATGTTACAAGAACACGAATTGTTTTGGCAGATAGCAAATTCATATTCTAGGAAGTTTTCAAAATATACAGGTTGCCAGGAGATCGATATGTAATTTGATTTTGGGATCAGCTCCAAGCAAAGTATATGGACAGCTGAGGAATGTTGCTGGAAAGATATCAGAGAGATTGTGAATATTTATTGTTATAGTTCAGAGTTTGGAATATACATGTGTATATGAAAATTGTCTTTTATTTATAACACTATGTAATAAGTTTATTGCTAAGTATATACATTTATTTATGAATTATAGTGTAACAAATGTTCAATCTTAAATTTTGATATGGTTAATATAATTATGAGAAAGAGTGAATGATTGAATTAAATAGAATTTATTAGTTTAAAAAGTTTACCTTACCAAATCTATTTAAGGAAAACTTGTATGATGATAAAGTTTATGGTAGCTAAACTGAATATTTTGGTAAGAACAGTAAAATAAAAAACTTTTAAAAAAATGAGCCCTTCTTAATGGGCCGAAAATCGAAAATGAAAATTTTGCATTTCTCGACGTTTTGAAGGTTCTGAACATTTTGGCATACCTCACAAAAATGGATGTGTGTGTATTTTGTATGTCCGCATTTTTTCGTCCACGTTTTCGGGCGCACGGATCAACCGATTTGAATGGTTTAAAAAACATTCGATCCTTATTGATAGGGAGATGTGCTGATAAGTTTTTGGCAAAGGCAGGTCTAATCATTACGGAGATTCGGAGCAAAGAATGCAGAAAATACAATCGAGTTTTTGAGAGAACGGAGTATCCGATTTGAATGATTTAAAATACATTCTATTTGTAATGATTGGGAGAAAGGTGATTAGTTTTTAGCAAAGGCAAAATCAGCCATTTCGCAGATACAGAGCTAACCGTGTAAAAATTAGTTTTTCTATAGGAATGTTTTGGTGGTGGTACATATAATAATTAGCAAGCATGGGTTTTGCCACTTCAGAATCCCAGTTAGCTTATAAAGTGTATCTTGCAGTGTCATTGTATCAATTTTTTTGAGAACTTAAAGAATTTAGTGTTTGAAAAGCATCAAATGCTTGTCTGCAATTTTTGCATATGAATTCATATAACTAGTTTTATTTTAGAAAATTTATAACATCTATTTACCCTACAGATGTCGGCAGTATTAGGTAGAGTAACGGTACATTCGTGGTAATCTTAGTTTT